TTTGTAGTCTTGGATGCCAACAGCAAAAATCCCTGACAACAAGCAGAGAAGGTGGAAAATACGAAATTTTGAAGAAGCTAGCTCTTAGGACTTGGGTATTACTTGGCCCCAAAAGATAATGGCCTATAAAAGCTAGCTCTTGTTAAGTTGAATGAAATATTTCCTAGCATGTCGTAAAAGCCAAAGTCCATTGTGGAGTTAGTTTATGAATTAATGAATAAGGAAAGGTCTGCCCAAATTTCGCCACTTTGAGTAACCTTCTGTGGGATTGACCAACGTGTCTTGGTCCAGGTTCTTACCTATGTAGAAAGTATAGTTTCAGTTTCGTGGCAGCCCTATGCCATTCCATGGAGAAATGCGGATGATGTAGGAGAGCATTGGAGGAAAATTAGATTTCTGGTTTTAAATGTTTGTTATAAGACTCATACCATATGGTCCTGCCGTGATATAAGGTAGAGCGGTGGGGGATGTAGGGATGAATTATATCAACACTACATCTGAATTCTGAAGAAGTGCTAATATATATATATTTTTATGTGATTCCCTTATTACAAAAATAAATTCACACTATGATATTTCCTTCATAAAATTTATCCTCTTTTAGAAGAAGTTGGAGCACGAACACTTTAGAAGGCATTAACTCCACTTGCCTTTGTATCATACTATGAGATATAAGATTGACTGTTGCTTCTGTTACCACTCTTTCATTGGTCCCTTACTCTAGCATCTCAATATGTCTTTCAGGGATGGCAGGTGCTGTCTATATTAAGGGGGTTGCGGTCACAAAGTATAAAAGGTGAGGCATGGTAAACGATGCATGTGGTACTTTGCTTTGATCATTTTCCAGGGAGAATGTCTTCTGTGTCCTGTAATTTCTGGTGAACTCCATATAGCTGAGACTGACTGAGACTGGTAACCATCTCTCTTGCAAGCTTTTGCTTGAACTCTTATAAATTTCACTACACAAATCTTGCTTGAGCAAGTGTGCTTGTTCCTCTCGAAAGGAGAACATTGATAACTCTTATCGGTGCCTTGAGGTCAATTGAACACATCAATATCCTTTTGCTGGCAGGTCTGCTGTAAAGGACACTGATGAATGGCCTTCCAAGTATTCCAAAGTCTTCATAGAAGTAAGAAGTGTTCACTTATAATGGGTGGATTCCCTTGTGCTTTTTGTTTTTTCATTTTCTTTCTTGGACCTGTGAGGTCACTGTGATTCCTTAATATCCTATTTTTTAGGTAAATTTTTTTAATATCATAGTCTAATTGTTTACATAACTGTCCCTTCTCAAGAAAAATTGTTACAAAAAATCATCGTTCTTCTGCAGCTAGAAAATGGATTGGAGCTATCTTTTACTGACAAGAGGCGTTTTGCTAGAGTGCGCTTGCTGAATGATGTACGTGAAATATCTATATTTATTTAATCTCTTAAAAGAGTAGCCCCCCCTATCAACCAGTTAATCCGATTTTGCAGCCAACTTCTGTACCACCAATATCTGAGCTTGGCCCAGATGCGCTTCTGGAGCCTATGACAATTGATGAATTTACTGAATCCTTGAGGAAGAAGAAAATTGCAATCAAGACTCTGTTGCTCGATCAGGTATTCTATGTCCTTGTATGGCTGATATCTGGAAAAATCACAAAGAGGACGATGCATTGGGAGGGAGAAAGATTTTAAACTCTAGTTTTCTCCTTTGTGCTTTCACCATGTTGCATATTTGCAATTCTTGTAGTAAGGACATCCTTTACAATTTTTTTAAGCTTGAGGAATTGTTTAACTCTGTTTGATTCACAAGTATACTGTTTGAGGAGAATATGATTTTAACTATCTGAGCTTGGTTAAAAGAGTTCGTTTTATACAGTCTAACATAAAAGATTGTCCTTAAGTTTAGAGTGTGGTTTGGAACTCTTTGGTTCTCCTGTGAAATGTGATTCTGAAGGGAAATTTCATTTAGCTTGTTACAAGATTTAATATTCAAATATAGATAATGAAAATTACATTGGTTGAGCCTTAGGGGAAGGGATAAAATTTAATCTGGAATTCGTCGTCATGATTAATTCTTCTTAGTTCTTCTGGATCTTAGAGCTACTGTTTTCTCATTGTAAGTCAATATGGTGCCCGGAACTTTTCTGAATATGTCGTGGAGTAATTTATGATGAGTATAATCCAGGTTGTTAATTTCAGTACTGTCTGCTTCAACATTTGCTTATTGTTTGACAGGTACTTTTTTGTTTTCTGTCTAATGTATCTGGATCTTGACTCATTAACTTTCACAGAGCTTCATTGCTGGTATTGGCAATTGGATTGCTGATGAAGTGCTATACCAGGTCAATTATCTTCCTCGTATCTATTTGAAGGATTCTTTGTAGTTTTGTGTACCTTTGCGGGCCATAGAGTTTGGTGCTTTCTTTTCATTTTATGATTTTCAGATTGTAAATTTTTGTGGCCTTCTACTCTGATTCTCCTTTCTATAGTTAACTTATTTTCCAGTTTGTAACAGGCAAAAATTCATCCTCTGGAAACCGCCTCCAGTCTTCCAAAAGAAAACTGTGCGACCTTACACAAGTGCATTAAAGAGGTAGGAGACTAAACGTTCTTCTTCACAACCATCTCTTGCTTATATTGACTCTGTGATGTGAATTACATTTATGGCAAATTAGAGGAAATACATGTAGGTTATTCAGTTTGCTGTTCAAGTTGATGCAAAATGCAGCCTCTTTCCCCTTGAGTGGTTGTTTCATTTTCGGTGGGGCAAAAAGCCTGGAAAAGTTAATGGTAAGATTCTTAATATTCATGAACCATCGTGACAATATAATTGGTTTCACAGGTCATTGAGAAAGCAATTGAAGTTGGGGCAGATAGTAGTCAATTCCCTAGTAATTGGATATTCCATACCAGGGAAAAGAAGCCGGGCAAGGCTTTTGTTGATGGTTTGGCTCCTTTCTTGTGAAATTTGAGGCTACATGAGTTATTATCTTGCCTTAGTCAATAATATCCATTCGTTTCGCCCTTTTTTTATGTTCTGCTTTCTGTGTTTGTATATAAAAAGAGAGGTACATGTGAAAAATCCTACATGACATGTCTATGTACTTGTATATTGGTTCTCTTCTGCATCATAGGCCAATGTCATATTAAAATTTTGTTGACAGTGTTTTACATACAAGTTGGACTTGACAAGCAAACGTTGGCCTGGCCCTAGGACTGGTCCACTATCCTTGAAAAACAGAATGTCTAGAACCGATCTTTAATCTGGTTGACCTTGTGAACCGTTGATCAAACCTTGGATGAGTTCTTCCATCTGAAGATACAGAACATGTTCATGCTGGCATTTGATTTCAAGCTTATGATTTATTTAAGATGGAAAGTGTAGCACAATCCCTGGTTTTGAACTTAGGCTTTTCAGTTTGATATTGTCTCTGTTTGACCTTGACTAAAACCAAACAAAGGTTTGACCTCATTAGTTCTCCAATTAGGTGGCCAATTAAATCTAGAAATTTTGTTTTAGTTGACGAAGATAGATATGTAAAGGTTATTAATGTTTCTGCAGGCAAAAGAATTGATTTTATCACTGCTGGTGGCCGGGTATGTCATTTTCAAACTACTTTTCTTTTATCTCTCCAGATTGCTTTTTATCACATAGTCAATTTGATGGGCCTTGATTTTCTGTCCTAGACAACTGCATATGTACCTGATCTGCAAAAGCTAAGTGGAGCTAATGCGGTAAATGCTGCCAATAAAAGAGGAAAGCAAACCTCAAAGAGAAAGAAGCGCGGCCAGGAGGAGGAGGAGGACGACGACGACGACGGTGTAGCAATTGAGGAAGATAAAATTACTGAAACTTTCAAGTCGAAGAATGCCCACAAGCCTAGAGGTCAAGGTAGAAAATCATCTACAAGAAGGAAACCCAAGGAAAGTGATGATGAAAGTGATGAAGCTGACATTGGCGAGGAAGATGAGAGTTCATATGGCAATGGCAGGAATGAGCAGAAAAAGAGAACAAGAGGGGCAATCAAGAATGAAAAAGGTCCGGAAAAGGCTGTGAACAAGAAGACTCAACCGGCTAGGAACAGCCAAAAGCAAAAGAAGCGAGCTAAGTAAATATTCTTCAGATATTAATGAACCAGGGTCTCTTGCACCTGCCCGCTTTTGGTAGAATTAAAGGGCAGGACTACGCAGATTTTTGTAAGTAATGTTAATGTGAAGTTCACTTTCGGTGGTGAAATCGGGTAAGTTTTAATCGTGGCTATGATGTCTGTTGTGAAATTGATTGCCACTTTCTGTATTACATTCTGAACAAGGTAATTCCCTATTTAGACTGTTGGATTGGGTTTTCTATTCGAATATATCAGATGACCTCTATGTGCATGCCCTCTGATTAATTTTGGCGCAGAGCGGCGAAGTTTGCTGTTCGTCGCCAATGTTCATTTTTATTTAGCACTGGCCCGCAAGAGAATGAAGCGTTGCAATCTCTGTTTCTTAGGCGAGAGTATGTCGACATTTCTACTAATCCGTCAATAATCTCCGGTCCACCGAGGCTCTTCATGTTGCGGAGTTTGTCATATCACCTTAACCTCGTTCGGGTTCCGTGGCCTTGGAAGCGTTCAGTTCCTTTTCTTCTGAATGTCCTATGACAACTACTTCCGGTGCTTGAAAAATCGTCCACCCAAGCTGTGCTAACAAGCAACAAGTGCGGTACGCATAATGTCGACTTAGTCACCTTCACCTACCATTTCACAACGGAGATACGTCATTTGTCTTTCATTATATTAGTAGAAAAAATAATTTCATTTTTTTTCAATTTAAGGACCAATAATTTCTCGATTTAAATTCACCTGGAGAGATGTTCAAGTTCAGAAAATAGGGGGGAACAAAGCAGACTACACATCAAACTCGCATTTTCGGGCTCAAAAATCTCACAAGCCCGGCCCAACCCTCCGGCCCGACACTCAATTCTTGAAAACTCACTCTCTCTCTCTCCCTCTCTCTCTCTCTCCATCTTCTCTTGACTACATTGCTCGTTACAGTGCTCCCACAGCTCCTGCAACTCCCCAAAAGAATGTGCGATCTTCAGGTCTCGGCGAATCAAAGCTTCCATTTTGCTCACAACCCTTTTCAAGATTTCGCCTGCGCTTCCTGTTGCGGCCTCCTTTCTCTCGCAACCCGAAGTTACCAGGTACCTGCGCTCAGTTCTCTCCCAATGGTCCTCCAGTTCGTTTTTTTAGCTGTTAATGGGTCGTCATGTTTGTCGTGATTCATCCGCTCATTCCGAGGTTGTGGCTTTCATTGGTGGGCTGTAGAAATTGTTGTCCTTTCTTTGATTCAGAGTTGTGGCCGTGCCTCTTGAATAGGAAGGCTCGTCAGTCGTTAGATGCATTCGAATCGAATACGGTGGACGTTTTGATGCTCAAGTTTTTTGGGGTCAGATTGATGGGCAGTTTGATCCTTATCATATTGGTATTTGGTTATCGCGGGAAGCCGTGCTATTCGAATATTCGGGCTCCTCGTTTGACGTCACTTGTGTGCTGCAAATCTTAAGCCGAAATTTTGGTCCCTGCGTGCTGGAGTTGAGAGTAATAATAGGATCTAGATCACAAAGCTGTCATAATTCAATTAGACCCGTGTGCTAATTCTTTTGTAGCTGTGTTTTGCTATCAGAAATGGTTTTATTTTATCAATGTCATGATCAGGTTACGTTAAGAATTAATTTATGACGGCTAGCATGTGATCGAACTGCACCTGCACCTCCATCTATATTGTCTAGTTCACTTATGATCGTGCCGCGTTTTTTATTTTAGTTGTTAACTTTCACTGTGAAGTAGTTTTGGTGTTAGGCTTATGGGCTGAACAGGGCTAGAGTAATGCTAAGGAGTTTGGTGTTATTTCAGTGGAATTATTGTCTTACTTTAGCAGGGTGTCCTGAAGACATATCATCTGAACTTAATATCTTTTAAATAAAATTAGTTGAGCATAAATCTGGCTTTTATGAAAGAGGCATATAATTCTTGTGTAAGGAAATACGGGCACAAACCATGTCTGTCCTAAGTAACGGGGTGTCAGTTTTAGGTTACTTCTTGTCACGAATACACACATTTACTCTTTTGATGGAGTTAATCATGTTCTTTGATTTTTTCTCTAATGATTCTATCCTGCAAATTAGTACTTGTCATGACTGATATTGCCACTAGGTCAGTGTCATGCGCATTCAATATTGGTAACATCAAGAAATGTGAATGCTTAGGAGTAATTGTGTGTAATGCTTGGAATTTGATTGTTTTGCAATATGTAGCTCCATGTAAACGACATTCGGGAAGCTTATTCGACACATCTTTGAATAGGATATGTAGAAACATTTGTGAGCATAACAAAGTAACTTAAATTTAGAGTCATGGAGTTGATAATAATCTAACTTTTTCACTGATCAGGTGTGGCCTTGACTATGATTTCTCCTGGAAATTATGAGTGGTGATAGCAATCTTTCACCAAGCAACAAGGCCTTCTCACCCAGCCATAACCTCAATATCTCTGTAAGTGTGATACTCTTATTATCTTCATGTATACGGAGGTTGTGTTTTAGTTGTACTGGTTCCATTGTGCATCTGTGCGTGGTTCTGTATATAACAGTTACTCCTTCAGCCTTTTGTTCTTGTCTTGTGACAATTTTTACTTTTTCTTTTAAGTGTTCAGGGTCCATTTAGATCGTATACTTTCTGCTTCATACTTTTTGGCATTTGAGACTTGACTTTTATTTCGGGTTGGCTACTTGAAATCTTTAGAAATCTATACATATGGACTTTTAAAGTCATTTAGAATATGTTAATTCTCATCACAATTTTTAAAGTCAATATGTATTTGTTTTGGTGGGAAAATCCATAAGTATGATTTTGAAGAGTTCGAACAATCATACCCTATATCTTCAATTCAATTCAAACATCTTAGCAAAAATTGGAATATAAAGTACAGTATGAAAAGTTCTTTTTCCCTAATAAAGAGCCTCACTGATGTAATACGTATTGGCCATTACAAAATTATGTACAAAACCTGCAATTGATTCTACCAAAGTTAAGCAGCAGAAATGCTCCTCTAATTCACAGAAGAGATTGACCTAGCAGTTTCAACACAATAAGTTTGATTAGCTTGTTGCAATGTGAGCGTTTTGTTTAATTGGTTGCTTGTTTCTATCAATAGCAATGAGGGAGAAGTCAAAGACAATGGTAATAAGAAAACTGCATGGATGTGCTGTCAAGCAACTTTTATTTTTATCTCATGGGAGAAGTATTAAAAAAATTAGTTATAATTGCATTGCTTTTTCATGAAGTGATTCCCAGTGACACCAATGAGTGGGTTGATAATTCTTCTGATTTTCTTTCTGCAGATAGAACGAGGTTCTCAAGACAGCGAGGAACTAATTGAGGAAGAAGCCCATGTCCTTGAGATTGATGGCGATGAGATTGAGAATGATAGTGAGGAAGAACTTGAATCGAATGATGGTGAACAAGAGCTTGAGCTGAATGACGGTGAGCAAGATCTTGAATTGAATGATGGAGAGCAAGTGCTTGAGTTGAATGGTGTTGGGCAGGGGCTTGAGATTTTGGAGGAGGAAGAAGAAGAAATTGTGAGGGATGGTTCAGTCGGCACTGATGTTCAAAATGGCACTTCTGATGTAAAGGAATACCCTCCACCTTTTGTAGGAATGGAGTTTGATACATATGACGATGCTTACAATTATTACAATACTTACTCAAAAGAACTTGGGTTTGCTATTAGAGTGAAGTCTTCTTGGACTAAGCGGAACAGTAAAGAAAAGCGTGGAGCAGTTCTCTGTTGCAACTGCGAGGGTTTCAAAACTATCAAAGAAGCAAGCAGTCGAAGAAAGGAAACACGGACAGGTTGTCTGGCAATGATAAGGTTGAGGTTAGTTGACTCCAACCGGTGGAGGGTAGATGAAGTCAAGCTTGAGCACAACCACTCATTTGATCCTCTTAGAGCAAAAAACTCGAAGTCACATAAGAAGATGGATGCTGGTGCTAAGCATAAAGTGGAACCAAATCTTGATGTGGAAGTTCGAACTATCAAATTGTATCGAACGCCAGTCATAGATACTGTGGGTCATGGAAGCTCATACTCCTGTGAGAGAGAAACCGGTTTTGACAGGGCCAAGCGTTTAAAGCTTAATAAAGGAGATGCTCAAGTGATGCATGATTTCTTGAATCAAATGCAGCTTATAGATCCAAATTTTCTTTATCTGATGGATCTTGGCGATGAAGGGTATCTGAAGAATGTATTTTGGATTGATTCGAGGTCCAGGGCTGCTTATGGGTACTTCGGTGATGTGGTTGCATTTGAGACGACGTACTTGTCAAATAATTGTGAGATTCGTCTCTTTGCATATGTTGGAGTTAATCACCATGGGAATAATGTGCCGCTTGGCTGTGCTTTGATTTCAGACCCAAGCGTAGAGACATATATATGGTTATTTAGGGCATGGCTTACATGCATGTCAGGTCGACCTCCACAAACTATCATTACTGATCAGTGCCAGGCCATGCAAAGTGCAATAGCTGAGGTCTTTCCAAGGGCTCACCATCGTCTCTCATTGTCATGTGTCATGCAGAGTATTCGTGAAAAGGTGACAGTTTTGCAGGACTCCGAGGCATTTCTCACATTGCTGGATAGCACAGTTTATGACGTTCTTAGAGTTGAGGAGTTTGAGATGGCCTGGGAAGAAATTATGCATCGTTTTGGCATCAAGGATCAAGAGTGGCTTCAGGCATTGTATGAAGCTCGAGAGAGATGGGCCCCGGTTTACTCGAAGGACACTTTTTTTGCCGGACAGAATGGTTTTCATAGAGGCAATGCTAAGAATCCGTTCTTTGATGGCAATGTGCTTCAGCAGACTTCTTTGAAAGAATTTCTCTCGACGTATGAATCATTCTTGCAACAGAAGAAGCAGAAGGAAGTTCTTGATGATTTGGAGTCTAGAGACTCAAGTGCCATGTTGAAAACATCATCTTACTACGAGTTGCAGCTCTCCAAGTTGTATACTAAAGCAATCTTTACCAAGTTCCAAGATGAAGTCGTGATGGTGTCTTCTTGCCTGGGTGTAACGCAAGTTCATACGAATGGGCCGATTGTGACATACTTGGTGAAAGAAAGAGATGGTGACGGTGATCTGGAAGATGTCAGGCACTTTGAAGTCATGTACGACAAAGCAGGAACTGAAGTTCGTTGCATCTGTAGCTGTTTTAATTTCAAGGGCTATTTATGTAGACATGCGTTATGCGTGCTAAATTACAATCGGGTGGAGGAGATTCCTTTCCAGTATATATTGTCTCGGTGGAGGAAGGATTTTAAGCGCTTGTATGTACCGGAATTCGGGTCTGACAATATTGATGTTAGCAACCCAGTTCAGTGGTTTGACCATTTGTATAGGAAAGCCATACAAGTTGTGGAGGAAGGGATGATATCCCAGGACCATTATATGGTTGCTTGGCAAGCATTCAAAGAGTCTTTGAATAAGGTCCGTCTTGTAGCTGATAAAAGTAACAATCACTTCAATGTATAAAATTCTTTGCATAGTCGAGCTGGTATCGTTTCTGATTTTGTTTGTGAATCTCTTCATACATCTCCAATCGTGCAAGTGGGCGGTTCATCTCGGAAGAATGAATTCCTAGAAAATTTCTCTCAAAGAAAAACTCGCATTCTTATATGTAAAAAACTGCTCCTAACCTATTTCTAAGTTTATATCTTGTTAAGATGCATGCGTGAATTATGTTAAAGAATCTCCACATCAGAGAATTAGTATGGTGTAGACTAGTTAATATATCTAGTTGGTCCATAACTAATTGACTTATTGACTTAAGCTTTTGAGTGAACGTGGATTCAACTAAATATGTTAACAGGCTCGGACTTAGGCTCTCTCTTAGTAATCTCCCAAGCAAAATGTACTGGGCTTCTGTTGTGCGCTCCCTAACATATCCAATATAAGATCTATTCAGTCCTGATTTAGCATTAGAGGTAATCAATGGGCGGGCAATCTACTTGCCTGCCCAGGCTGAGAGGTGAATGGCCCAGCCCGCTCATCTTTGTCGTGAGCTTGGTCTGGCGCGAAATTTTTATATATAGAGGGCTTGGACAACACATTATGCCCAACCTTGGGGCCAGGCCCGGCCCGCCCCTACCCCACGATCACCACTGTTTAGCATGCTGCTGGTTTTAATCCAATGAAGTTTGGGCACTACAAGAATGAGTTTGTCATCATCTTCTGGCATGTGATGTAAGATAATCCATTGGATGTCAAGCTTTTTCCAACAGGGATAGGAAAGTTTGTCGTTTTGTAGATTTAACATTCCCATCATATTTTGATCTTTCTAATTGCTATTCAATCTCTTTGGCCTGTGTTTGCTTGTTAATGGATTAAGTTATCTTGCCATTCTTGGATGTAATATGATTATTCGCTGAAAAAGTGCAAGAGGCAGTCAGAGGAGGGGGGAAATAGGAGTAAGAAAGCAAAACACAGTGCTAGAGATTGCTGTCAATGCTATTATGAATTTTCCTCTTTTTCTAATTCTTTTTCAAACCTCTTTTTCTAATTGAACCAGTTAGACATTTGCAGTTCACATACCGATTGTGGCAAAAGAAAAGGGGGGAAAACATAAATAATAAGAAGACGGATTTTGTACTGGTAAATTCTCTAGTCGACGTGAAATATACTTTTTTTTGTTCATTTTTAATGTGGGAGATTGGGAGTCATTTTTCCCAAGCATTTTTCAAGGGCGATTTGTTTGATCTAGCGTAATTAATTGTCAATATCTTAGCCAATTAAACGGTTCCCTTGCTCATCCCATATATGTATATACATATATATGTTCTCTCTTTTTACGACTCCCATCCTTACTTTCTGAAACTTCAAAATTGTCCAAGAAAGTGGAATTTAATTGCAGATGGTTGGCCGTAATGGAACTCTCATTAACCGAGCAAGCTCTTTCGAACACATTAGGATAGCCAAAGTTCATGAAAGGGCAACGTTTCTCTTTATGTTCATACATGGCATGAGGGTCAAAGTTTTAGCCAGCCTCAGTGTCAGCGACCCTCCTAAAGCTGTGCACGCACGTTTCAACTAGACAGGAAGTGTCTGTCACGTTGCCTTGATTCTTGAATATTTTAAGTGCATTCTCGTGTTGAAATAACTTCTGGCCAGAGATTTTCACTTTTATGCAACTTCAGAATTATTTTGAAAGCAACTAAGGTGTAGACTCAAAGTACTCACAGAGCTTCGTTGATGAAGAGAAGGATGAACTCAAGCGCAGCGGCAATGTGTGTTGATTATGAGGTCCTCTTGAGTTTCAGAGAGCCAGACACTAGCCTAACATTCACTGATTGCCTCTATGAAGCCATGAGCAATACTGGGATCCGTGTTTTCAGAGACGATGAAGAGCTCCGCTTTGGCGAAGAGATTGGAGGCAAGCTTCTGCAAGCAATTGAAAGCTCCAAAATCTGGATACCGATTTTCTCCAAAGACTATGCTTCTAGTATATGGTGTCTCCAAGAAGTTGCACACATGGTGGAATGCAAAAGGAACTCGACTGGAAAGGAGAGTTTGCCCATTTTCTACGACGTGGAGGCCTCAGATGTCAAGCTCCGAACGGAGTTGTATGAAAATTGCTTGCGAAGGCATGAGAAGGTGTTTGGGTACGAGAAGGTGAAGCATTGGAGGGAGGGTCTGAGAGAGGTTGCCAGGATCAGAGGATGGAACATAAAAGATAGAGCGTAAGGATCTGAAGTTCTAAACTTTCATTAAATTGTGATTTTGATATCTCATGTTTTCTTGAGTCCTGTAAAGCCACTTCTTCTTTCTCAATCCTATGGACGAGACACTTCCTAGAAAGATTCGGGGAATAATGATTCCTTCTTAAAGGATTTCCTGACTCAGGATTCTTTTGTTTATTCAATTGTCTTTCAACTGTTGCAGTTTCCAATCCTGACCTTCTTTGATTCATTTGGAGTTATACTCTTGAAATATAGGCCATAGCTGCTGCTGAGCTTTAAGTTCTACATAGAGTGTTTACTTTAGCATCAAATGACAAGGCTTTTTCGAGCATGTAAAATGTATATGCTATTCCTATTTATGCAGCAATACCCTCGAAGATGCTTTTCTCACCGTGCGTTTGATTCGCCTACTGATCTAACCGTAGCTTATGTGGTAGATAGTTGTATGACACTACATTCCCTTGACCTTGAGAGTGAGTTTTTATTATTCATCTTCTGAGATTCTTTATGTCTATGGCAGCCAAGGTGAGCTTATCAAAGCGATTGTTCAAGAGGTACTAAGTAAGCTGAAAACAAGGCAGAGGAGTTTGCCTGATCATTTCCTTGGAATGGATGATCGAGTGGAAGCTGTGATGGATTTGTTAGACACCTACTCTATGGATGTACGGTCAGTTGTAATCCATGGTATGGGTGGGATCGGCAAAACAACTCTTGCCAAGGTCATCTTCAACAAAATCTGTTCTCAGTTTCAAAGCTGTAGTTTCCTCTCAAACGTGCGAGAATCATTGCAGCGGGGCAACGTTGTGAAATTGCAGAAACAGCTACTGTCCGACATTCTGAAGTCAAGATCCAAAAAAATCAATGACATTGACGATGGGATAAACATGATCAAAGAAAGATGTCTTAGCAAGAAAGTTCTCATCGTTCTTGATGACATTGATAATGGGGACCAACTAATAAACCTAGGAGGAAAGTCTGATTGGTTTGGTTCAGGAAGTAGGATTATCATTACAACTAGAGACACGAGTTTTCTGGTAGCTGAAGACAAGAGACTGCATGACAATTTCAGGGTATAGTCTCAAGAGTTCTATATTTATGAAATGAGGGAAATGTGTCCCAAACATGCTCTTCAACTTTTCAGCATGTGCGCCTTCAGAACCGACTTTCCTCCACATGATTTTAATGATCTTTCAAGTGAAGTTGTTGTCACTATGGGAGGACTTCCTTTGGCTCTCGAGGTTGTCAGCTCGTTTCTTTACCGAAAAGGTGACGTGATATGGAAAGACACGCTGAAGAAGTTACAGAAAATGCCTTACAAGGAAGTACGGAAAAAATTGATGATTAGTTATGAAGCATTAGAGTATGAGGAAAAACAAATTTTTCTTGATATTGCTTGTTTCCTCACCGATGAACGAAAGGGCGATGCAAATTATTTTTGGAAGCTTGTGAATTTTATCCAAAGAGTGGAATTATCGTCCTTATGCATATGTCTTTGATAAAAATTAACGACCATGATAAAATATGGATGCATGACCAACTCAGAGACCTTGGAAGGGAGATTGTCCACCAAGAAAGCCACCTAATGCCAGGAGGACGTAGCAGGTTGTGGTCTCCTGAGGTTGCTCTAAACGTAGTCCTGGAAAAGGAGGTAAAACATAAGTATTTTGTAATGTTCTTATAGGCAAAAGCAGTTCATGTATATCCTGTATTAAGAGTAGATTGTAATAAGTACTCCATTCTCTTTTGTCAGTTTGAACTCTCATCATCCTAATATATTTCAATTTTTAGGGAACTGACAAAGTAGAAGCGCTTAGCCTTGAGGCACCAAGTTAAATGTGGAGTTTTACATGTGAAGAAATTGGAAGGCTGGTAAATCTAAGATTCCTTAAATTAGATGGGGGAAAACTCATGGGAGGCTTTGAGAATACTTTCTCAAAGTTAAGATGGCTCTCTCGGTATCATTGTCCAGCAGAATTTCAGGCAACCAACCTTAAATTGAGGAATTTGGTTGTCCTCAAGCTTTCAGGAATCTACATAACTGAATGCTGGAGTGGATGGGATCATATCAAGGTACTTAGTCATCTAGTGTGCGGTTGCATTTTTAATATTTGCTCTATCCTCTTTACAAGTTCTAGTTGTTTTACAGGTGGCAAAACATTTGAAAGTTCTAAATTTCACTGGCTGTGAATACTTAACTAGTGTGCCTAACTTCTCTACATTCTCAACACTGGAGAGATTGATTCTTGAAGATTGTGAAAGGTCAGTTGAGATTGACAGCTCCATCGGGGAGTTAAAGTGTCTAGTTTACTTGGAAATTAATGGACGCAATAGTATGGAGGAGCTTCCTGCAGGATCTAGTTTGGATGTATTGAGAATTGCAAGACTTTCTAGAAAGCTTTCAGCTGGAGAATTGAATTCACTGATAGAGTTACCCGAATCAATTGGAAACTTGACAAGATTGAACGTATTTAGGGTAAAACATATCAAGATAGGGAAGCTACCGGACTCAATTGGTAAACTGGAGTCACTTCTTGAATTGGATATGTCTGGTACAGAAATTACAGATTTACTGGTGTTAATGATAAAAGAGTAACTTGTTTATTTCAGAGATAACAAAGAGTATTTATAGGCTTAGGATTAAGCCTAATACATTTACACAAATATCCCCAACTTGCTAATACTCTAAAGTAATAAACCCAACACTCCCCCTCAAGTTGGAGCGTACATATCAAAAAGTCCTAACTTATGACAAATATACGAAACTCGTCCACGTCGAAGAGGCTTTGTGAAAATGTCTGCTAGTTGCTCTTCAGAACGTGTGTGTACCAACCGTATGTCTTCGCAGTTCACCTTTTCTCGAACAAAATGACAATCCACCTCTATATGCTTCGTTCGCTCATGAAACACTGGATTGCTAGCAATATGAATAGCATATTGATTATCACAACACAGAATAGATGATCCGGTCATAGGTAGTCCAATCTCAGCTAACAACATACGAACCCATTGAAGTTCACTGGTAACATTAACCATAGCACGATACTCGGCCTCTGCACTAGATCGGGAAATAACAGACTGTTTCTTACTTTTCCACAACACAAGATTACCACCAAGAAATACACAGTATCCAGAAGTAGACCGGCGATCCATAGGGCAACCAGCCCAATCTGCATCAGAATATCCTGTTACCTCCAAAGATTCAGGGTTGGAATAACCAGCTATACGAAGATGACCTTGATTATGGAACACAAGTCCTTGACCTGGTGCTCTCTTCAAATATCGAACAATTTGTAGAGCAGCTTGCCAATGATTAGTACGAGGAGAGCTCATAAACTGACTCACCACACTAACAGCAAATGAAATATCCGGACGGGTAATGGTAAGATAATTTAACTTGCCTACTAACCGACGATACTTCTCTGAATCATGAAGAAGTTCTCCCTGTTCATTGTCAAGCCTCACTCCAGGATCCATAGGTGTGTCACCAGGTTTAGAATCATGTAAGCCAACCTCCTTAAGAATGTCAAGAGCATACTTTCGCTGGGAGAGAGCAATGCTACCATTGGCATAGGCAACTTCAATGCCAAGAAAATATCGCAGACGACCTAGGTCTTTAGTGTTAAACTCCTTGTGAAGAAACTGCTTAAGTCGTCGTATGCCTTCAACATCGCTGCCTGTGACAATGATATCATCAACATAAACAACAAGAATAACACATCCTTTTGAAGATGACATACTAAATACTGAGTGATCCACACTACACCGATGCATGCCAAAAGTAATAACCGCATCACTGAACCGGCCAAACCAAGCACAAGGAGATTGCTTAAGCCCATAAAGAGCTTTTCGCAATCGGCACACCTTCTTCCTCTGAGCAACAAACCCAGGTGGTTGCTCCATATATACTTCCTTGTGAAGATTACCATGAAGGAAGGCATTTTTTACATCAAGCTGATGAAGAGTCCACTGAGACCGAGCAGCCAAGGAAATAATGATACGAACAGAAGGAATTTTGGCTACCGGAGAGAAAGTTTCATCATAGTCAATACCATAAGTTTGAGTATAGCCCTTGGCCACAAGACGCGCCTTGCCGATGCTGGGCGACCTTGGATGGAGGACGCCGGGGTCTGGCGACGCCGGACGGAGGGTCGCCGGCCCTGGGCGACGCCGGACTGAGGTCGCCGGACCTAGATCTCGGCGGATCTGAGGTCGCCGGACCTAGATCTCGCCGGATCTGAGGTCGCCGGCCCTGGGCGACGCCGGACGGAGGGTCGCCGGCCTTGGGCGACGCCGGTCGGAGGTCGCCGGAGGGAGCTACAGTAGTTCGCCGGCGAGATCTACAGTGGTGGTGGCTAGGGTTTACTGTGAGAAGGTTAGGTTTAGGTTTTTAATTTAGGCTCTGATACCATGTTAATGATAAAAGAGTAACTTGTTTATTTCAAAGATAACAAAGAGTATTTATAGGCTTAGGATTAAGCCTAATACATTTACACAAATATCCCCAACTTGCTAATACTCTAAAGTAATAAACCCAACAACTGGATTCTATTGGAAATCTTACATGGTTAGAGGTAATAAGGATGAGTCGCAGCAAGATACAAAAGCTACCGTACTCAATTGGGAGAGTAAAATCATTGCTCCAATTGGATCTCTCTCTCACAAAATTACAGATTTACTGGATGTTATTGGGAATCTTAAATTGTTGAAGGTGATAAATCTGGATTGGAGTGAAATAAGGCAGCTACCGAAGGCCATTGGGATGATGAGGAATCTTGAAAAGCTGCTTGCCAGATGCTGTAGAAATTTACACGGAGAAATCCCAAGTGAAATACCTGGATTATCCGTTTCGAGAATCCTAAACTTATCGAGTAGCGGTATTAGTAGATTGCCGACAACTATTGATCAGCTTACCCATCTACAAGAACTTCATTTGCAATGTTGTGATGATCTTCAACAGTTGCCAAGGCTTCCCACGAGTTTAACTAAATTGGACTTTAGATCTTCGATGCTGCAGACAGTTCCCGACCTTTCCAACATGACCAATTTAGTTGACCTGTCCATTTCTGATGGTACTGATGGTATTGACTTCGGCTCACGGGTGGAAAGAGGGCAATTACAAGCTCAGAACATAGACTGGGTTGTCAGGCTAACTAGACTGGAGAAGTTGGCACTGGTTCTTTCAGATTCCATACAACTAACTGATCTGTGTCCCCTTTCCCGGCTCCAGCGTCTCAAAATATCTTGCTTTGACCCTGATTCTCTGATGCAATACCCTTCCAGTCTCAAAAGTCTTACCCTTGTAGATTTGAAGTCACCCACGAAATGGTCATCTCTTTCCTCCTTGAAGAATTTGCACACTTTAATGATCCAAAGGTCTAGGCTTGAAAAGATTCACTTTGATGTACTTGGACAGCTAAAGAATCTCCAGTCATTGCAAGTGTCTCGTTGCAAGTTCCTTGAGAGGCTCTCTAATCTATCGCACTTGAAAGAGCTCAAGATATTGTGGGTGTCACAATGCCCGAAGCTGACTGAAATTCAAGGTTTTGAGGAATTGGAGATGTTGCAATATCTTGTCATTTACGAATGTGATTCCATATATAGGCTACCTGATCTGTTGAGTTTGCATAAAATGAAGAAGTTATACATTCATCGTTGTAAATCCTTGGAACATTTGCCCAGTGTGGGAACATTGTGTGATCTCATTGTTGATTGATGCCTGTAGGTTACGTGTGCAGATCATTGACTGAAAGATACCAACGGCCAACTCTGGATAGCACGGTGACGCTATTAGAGTTGAGGAGTTTGAGATTGCCTGGGAAGAAATCAATGCAGCGTTTTGGCTTTAAGGATCAGTAGTGGCTTCAGGCATTGTATGAACTAAAGCTCGTGAGAGGTGGGCCCCAGTTTACTCGGACTCGTAGTTTGCTGGATGGGACAGTTTTCAGTGAGGCAATTATAAGAGTATGTTCTTTAATGGCAACATGCTTCAGCAGGCTGCTTTGACAGTTTTTCTCGAGATGTACAAATTGGTCTTGCAAAAGAAGCAGCGCAAGGAAGTACTTGATGATGTAAGGTCTAGAGACTTGAGTGTTGAAAACATGGCACTAGTTCTTGTGATGATGTCTTCTTGCATCGGTGCTACGCAAGTTCATTCAAATGGGCCTATTGAAGTAATGTATGACAAAAAGCAGGAACTTAACTTTCCTTCTGTATCTGGTTTAATTTAAAGGGCATTTTATGTAGACATGCATTATGTGTGCTTAATTAGAGATTCCTTCCCAGTAAATGTTGTTTCGATGGAGAAAGCTTGTACTGGAATTTGGATCCAGCAACACTGATGTCAGCAACCTGGTTCAGCGGTTTGATCATTTGTGTAGGAAAGCCACGCAGACTGCGAAGGACGGGATGATATCCCAGGATCATAACATGGTTGCTTGGCGAACATTTGACGAGTACTTGAATAAGGTCCGTCTTGTAGCTGACAAAAGCAACTATCACTTCAATGTATTAAATGCCTTGCATAGTTGAGTCGGTACGTGATCTGTTGATATCCCTCCGATGGTGCAAGTGGGCTGTTCATCTTGGGAGGATGAGTTTCCTGGGAAAATTTTGTCAGAGAAAGCAATTTTCGACCATAAAACCACTTCTAACCTTATATTATGAGTTTTATATATCTTTCTAGTCTTGGTGTAGCATATTGCTGGTTTTGATTCCATGAAGTTACAGTAATCCAAGAATAAGTCAGGCATTACCTTATGGCATGCGGTCTAAATTCTCGGTAGAGATTAGCAGTTCATATAACCACAAATTTTGGCAGAAAAAGTAAAGAAAACAGACGTAACAGTAAAGCAGAGATATTGTATAGGTAAATTCTCCAGTTGAGTGATAAATCTTTCGATTTTTCATTTAATGTCGGAGTTATTAGGAGTCATTACAGAAGCTTTTCTCGAGGGCGATTCATTGGATCTAGCAACATGAATTGGCTAAATCTTCACCAAATAAACAGTTCCAGATTTCCATTGCTCACCTCCAATTTTCTTTAGCTCCCCTTTCATGTTTAAGAAAATTCGAACTTCTCCTTGAAGTGGAACTTAATTGCAGATGGTTGGCCAATACGAAACTCTCATGAACCATGCAAAGCTCTGCCTCTGTCGAACACATTCCATTTCACTTGGCTTATGATAGCCCAAATTCATGAACGTGCTAACGTTTTTCTTTCAGTTCGTGCATGGGATGAGAGTCAAAGTTTCAGCCTTTCTAAATTGTCAACGACCCACCAAAGCTGTACACGCAGGTCTCAACTAGACAGGGAGTTTCCGCCACATTGTCATGGATACTGCATTCTTGTGAGAAAATAACTTCTGGCCCGAAGATTTTGACTTTTGATGCAACTTCAGAATTATTTTGAAAGCAACTAAGCTGTAGCCTCAGAATACTCACAGAGCTTCCTCGATCACGAGAAGGACGAACTCAGGAGCAGCGATGAGTACTGATTATGAGGTGTTCTTGAGCTTCAGAGGACCGGATACTCACCTAACATTCACAGATTGCCTCTATGAAGCCATGAACGACGCGGGGATCTGCGTTTTCAGAGATGATGAAGAGCCCCGCTTTGGTGAAGCTTCTGCAGGCAATCGATAGCTCCAAATTCTGGATACCAATTTTTCTCTGAAGGCTATGCTTCCAGTGTATGGTGTCTCCAAGAACTTGCGCACATGGTGGAATGCAAGAGAAGCTCGAATGAAAAGGAGATTTTTCCCATTTTCTACAATGTGGAGGTGTCAGATGTCAAGCTCAGAACGGACTTGTACGATAATGCCCTGAAGAAGCACAAGAAGAAGTTTGGTTACGAGAAGGTGCAGCAGTGAAGTTCTAAACTTTCCTTTCACATGGGCTTGTTCTGAATATAAATATCTGTGTCTTTAATTGTCTTCTTTTGATAGATCTTATGCTTTCTATGGTCCTGGAAAGATCTTTTTCTTTCTCCATCCCCTATATGAGACACTTCCTAGAAAGAATCGTGGAATAATGTGATTCATTCTTCTAAAAGGATTTCCATGACTCCTGATATACTCTTTATGTCCTTTAAATGTTCACTGAATTATTCAACTGTTGCAGGTTCAAACACTGACCTCCTTTTGTTTCATTTGGAGTTTACTTCCAAAATATAGCTGCTGCTGAGCTTTAGGTTCTACGTGGAGTATTTGTTTAGCATCAAATACAAAGAGGCTTTTTCGAGTATGTAAAATGTATTTGCTATTCCTATTTATCCAGCAAAATCATCGAAAAAGATTTTCTCACCATGCGTTTGCCCAGTCTACTTATCTAATCGTAGTTTGTGCTGTAGACAGTTGTATGATTATACTTTCCCTTTACATCGACTGTTTTATTTTGTTATTAGTTCATCTTGTAAGACCATTATATGAATTTGGCAGCCATGGTAAGCTTATCAAAGTGATTGTTCAAGAGGTATTAAGTAAGCTGAAACAAGGCAGAGGACTTTGCCTGATCATTTCATTGGAATGGACGATCAAGTGGAAGCTGTGATGGATTTGTTAGACACTTGCTCCATGGACGTACGATTGGTTCTAATCCACGATATGGGTGGGATCGGAAAAACGACTCTTGCCAAGGTCATCTTCAACAAATCTCTTCTCAGTTTCAAAGCTGTAGCTTCCTTCAAACGTGCGAGAATCATCACAACACGGTGACGTTGTGAAATTGCAAAAACAACTACTGTCCGACATTCTGAATTTAAGATCCATAGAAATTTATGACATTGACGATGGGATCAACATTCTCAAAGAAAGATGTAGCAAGAACGTTTTCCTTGTTCTTGATGACATTGATCAGGGGGACCAACTTGTAAAACTAGGAGCAAAGTCTGATTGGTTTGGTTTCGGAAGTAGAGCCTACATGACAGTTTCAGCGTTCAGTCTCAAAAGTTTTATGTTTATGAAATGAGAGAGATGCGTCCTGAACATGCCCCTCAACTTTTCAGCATGTGCGCCTTCAGAGCAGACTTGCCTCCAGATGATTATAATGATCTTTTAAGCAAAGTGGTTGCCACCATAGGAGGACTTCCTCTGGCTCTTGAGGTTGTTGGTTCATTTCTTCATCGAAAAAGTGAGGTGATATGGAAAGACATGCTGAAGAAGTTGAAGAAAATGCGTCCCAAAGAAGTCCAAAAAAAGTTGATTAGTTATGAAGCATTAGAATACGAGGAAAAACAATTGTTTCTAAACAATGCTTGTCTCTGTCAACCAAGAAAAAACAAGTGCAATATATATGTGGGAAGCTTGTGAGTTTTTCCCAGAAAGTGGAATCAATGTTCTTGTTGATATGTCATTGATAAAGATTGTAGAACATGATGTCATATGGATGCATGACCAGATCCAAGATCTTGGAAGAGAAATTGTTCGTCAAGAGAGCTTTCAGATTCCCGAAAGGTGTAGCAGATCGTGGTCCCCTAAGGTTGGCTTAGATGCAGCGCGAAAACAAGAGGTAAGCAACACTTACAGAAAACACATTACCTCTATTCCTTTTTATCCCCTTGACACTTTCATGCTGTTATGTTAGCAGGGAACAGAGAATGTGGTGGCACTCGTATTGTGGGGATTTTTTAGAATGTATGAATTTAGGCAGGATCAGTTCTCCAAGCTTCCGAATCTTAGGTTGTTGGAATTGCATGAGGGAATCAACTTTGTTGGAGATTTTGAGAATCATCTCTCAAAATTAAGGTGGCTTTCTTGGCACAGCTGTCATCCAAAATTTAATGCAACCAACTTTAATCTAAGGAATCTAGTCGTTCTCAACCTTTCAAAGAGCGAACTTACAGAAGATTGGGGTGGATGGAGCCAGATAATGGTACAATTTGTAGTATTCATGCATTCTGTTTTTAGTTTGTCTCACCTACTCCTCACTCATCCTTTAAAATATTGCATCTTTTTGCAGATGTCAAGTAAGTTTAAAGTTTTGAATCTCACCAGTTGCAGATGCTTAACCAAAACACCAGACTTCTCTTCATGTCTAGCTTTGGAGAGATTGACTCTTAAAGATTGTGAAAGTTTAGTGGAGATCGACTCTTCAATTGGTAAGCTACAACACCTAACTCACTTGACTATTGATGGATGTAATGGTCTGAGAAAGCTGCCTGATGAAGTTATTTCTATAAGATCCTTGACCAGTCTGGTTATTAAGAATATCACGGGAAAGGGTACCAATAGTGTTAAAGTAGACAACAGTGTTGGTTTCAAATTGCCTGAGTTGATTGGCAATTTAAAATATCTGTCAAGCCTTCAAATGGTTAATGTTAGAATCACTGATCTTCCATGCTCAATTGGGCTGCTAAAAAATATCAAGAGCTTGTCTTTCTACGGATGCTCCGAACTGAAAAAACTTTCAGACTCAATGGGGGCACTACCATCATTGGTGGAGTTAGATTTGTCATGGACAAAAATTGCAGAATTACCCGAATCTTTTGGTCACCAGAAATCTCTGTCAGTCCTTGAACTAGATCGAACTCCAATTACCAAACTTCCCAGCTCTATTGGAGGGCTCATTGCACTTCAGCATTTGGTTGTATCTGGATGTCTCGAGCTAACAAAACTTCCAAATTCTATTGGGGAATTAAAAAGTTTACTTGAACTGGACCTATCTGAAATAGGGATTACCGAGCTGCCAGATTCAATTGGAAACTTGAAGAGGTTAAAAGTAATTAAGATGAACTCCGGCAAGGTTAAAAAAACTTCCCATTGCTATCGGATTGTTGGAGAATCTTGAAGAGTTACATGCTGGATTTTGTAGAGAATTAGCAGGGGAGATTCCAAGTGAAATCGGAAGATTATCCGCTTTGAGAATCCTAGACTTGTTATGCACCCGAATTTGTGTTTGGCCTAAGACAATTAATCAACTCTGTCTTCTCCAGCAAGTTAAATTGCAAGGTTGATGATGCTAGACACATTGAAGAACTGAGCTCGTTAGGACATCTTAACATGTGAAAGAGGGCGCATTGAAGAACTGAGCTCGTTGTGCAGAAAATTAATGCAAAGGATGATAACTGGTGCATTTGAATGGCTGTGACTTTTTCAGAGAAAAAAGAAGAAGAATGGTTGTGACTCTGAGTGCAGGTTAGATCATGGTTGGCGTAGGCATTCCAGTCACGAAATCAATTTCTCGGGTTTATACGGTTCCACCATCAGATGCTCATTCCTGCATGAAATAGTTCAAGATACACCTCATTCTGAAGCCATGGATATATCTTCCTCGTGTAGCTCAACAATTTCAGATGAGAGAGACCATGGCAGGAAAGGATGCAGTGATGAGACACTGGCATAAAAGCAAGAACATAGCAGCATATGCCATAAAAAAAATTTAACTGGTGAAATATGCATAAACTCCAGGCTTACTCAATAGAAGTTCATGTTTACGATTATTATTGGTGCATCACACGTTGCAAGACAGTATATTCAATCAAGGTCCTGGGTATCCTGCAGCTTCCAGAGCTTCCATAAATGACAAAATTCAGCTCACAAATGTAACTCAGTCTTTTGCATCTACTAACCGAACAAGAACATTAGAACCATGCCTTTCAAATGGCATGAAAATCCAAGTAGGCTCTTTTTCGAAACAAAACCACGTCACAGGTAAATGGCCAAGTCAGACGGCAAATAGGTAATGCTTTTTGTGTTGGTTCTGAAGATCACCCTCTCCAGATTTGCTGCCTTGCTGTGCACAAATTTCAACAAACCCATGCTATTTTCATAACCCGTGAAGAATCTCCTCACACAGAACATCCCCTCGTCCCAAGTTTGGTAGTCACCGTACTCATTCTTGAACTTGAGAACACGCAGTTTCTGCCAGCAGGGAAGAGTTTCTTGACTCATGATTTCCCAGAATCGCCCCTCTTCAAAATCATACTTTCTTGTAAAAGTCTCTCTGATCTAAAAGCACAATGAAAGATCTCATTAGGCAACACAAATCAAAAGATGTGACTAATGATATATAATGTAGTAACTCCAGCATAATTCCCTTCCTTACATTAAACATAGCTTGCCGAACCATAATCACAGCAAGGTTTTCCAGATTAGGACAGGCTGTCAGCAAGCAGGCGATTCCAGGAAGCTCCCACTTCAGCAGCCCTGTATCCAGCACAAGACTGGTTGAACCAAGCGTCACCATTTCTTGTTTCATCATCTTTTTCACCGATAATATCTGGTTCAAAATATTGGGGACACTATAAGAATCAATGTTGTAATGAGTGTGCACACTTCTGAAATCTCAGGTTAATTGAGTAGTACTTCCACACTGATTTTTACACAGAATGCTAAAATAACAATTTAGGACATTCAGGAAAAATTCTTTCATCTGCAGTAATAGAGACACACAACAAAAATAAAATTACGTAAGAAATGATGGTTTCCAAGCGATTTGGATATGCGCTGCACCCCAAAACATATGGACAGAAATCATCCATAGATATATGCAAACTGCATTCTCATCTTGTATTCCTCTTTGTCCACTTCATTTAGGTACTCTGTGTCGTTACATTAGATTGTGACCCCAAAAATGTCATACAGAATAGATCAGAACCAAGTGAGATGATAGTGATGCATACCTGAATACACCAACTGCAGAAATGAAAGTGTCTAGCAGACTGGAATATATTAAGAAGGCTCTGCAAGTTTTTGTCGTACTGTGCGCCATAGAGACCAGCTCCAGTGACGAGCACCACCCGTCGACGATAAAGCATCTCATCAAAGTTGAATCGTGCTTCAACTCCGGCTGGAACATTTTTTATCAGGAAATTACTCCTGGTCATGCCGCCCCGAAATTCTAATCCTCCCAGTGTTGGACAATCAATAACGAGATTGGTCTTTGGTTCCACCATCATGAACCCATCCAAAATTGAAACCTTTATTGGAACTGTTCTCGGCTGAATGGTAATTTTCAGATTGCCACGCATGTTGCAATTAGTCAGGGACAACAGCTCGAGCTTTTCACAGTCTGTGGCGATTTTCTCGATTGCATCATCCGGTAATACTACCCTATCTAAAGAAAGTTCTCTTAAGTTCTTAAGGTGCAATCGAGCAGGCAAATCGAGCTTTAGAAAAGCCAGTCCCAGTTTCACTACTGAAGAACTGCTATATAAGGGTTCAGGAAAATGGTAGTAAGGATGACGCCACATGGCCTTTTTCCTTCTATCCTCCAGATCGTTGAAGTTGAGATCTAGTTCTTCAACACCATTTTTAAGGGCAAGAGAGATCCATGAGTTGACACGGTGAAGCATACAGCTGTTGTACCTAAAAGATAAACGAAAGCAGTATATCTTCGGAAGCCTACATCTACGGAAAAATTGGCTCACAGAAGGAATGACTTCGTTTCCAGTTTCTTCGACCCAACGGTATGTAAAGTCCACCTTGTGCATGGACTTCCACAAAAACCTCCAACTTCGTGAAAGCATAGAAGTTCCCAGGGCATCCTTCATAGGTAGTCTATCCAGAATTAGAAGAAGAATGTCATCCGGTAACCTGCTTAACAAGTCATCTTCAGAATACACTGCATCTTCCGAATATAATTTCAAACACTTGCGTCTTCGTCGGGCCCGAGCCATCATCTGAACATGCAAACAAGGAAAAAGTCTACATTAGCTCTGCACTTATGAAATTACCACGATGTAATTATGTGTGATATTGCATGGTCAAGTATTGTTCACCTTACCTAACTATATTTGACTCATGTCAAAGCCCATTAACTAAACACAGTAACTTTCTCACGTGTACACACCACCAATATTGTTACTCTCAAAAAGAGATTATTTCGTCCAAGAAATATCATTGCCTTACATTCAGGAAGGGGAATTCGGTTGTGAGAGCATTCATGCGCATTAGGTCTATCTTTTCACCATGCTTGAATTAGGTGAGACTCTTACAACCCCTCTAAAATGAATAATTGATAAATAATGCCACAGCAAGAATGTATTGCATGTACTTAAACAAGTGCAGTGAAAATCTGCAAGATACTAGGCAATTAAATGTGGCTTCAACTGGACTCAAGGACCATGTTGGATAATTTTTCGGAAAGCTTAACTGGGTTGACATTGGAACAGAAAAGTAAATCAAAGGCCAAACTTCTGCTCTGAAGGCATATTCACTCAGTAAAGCTTTTGACAATGTAAGTCTACCAGAAAATCACATGCGTCCACTGCATAGCACAACAACATGCTCATACCTAATATAATGACTGCGTTTGTTCTATAAGCTAGTCATAACATTAACATGTTTAACATCTATGCACAACACAATGGCCTATCGAGATGAAATTTGCCATAACTTTCTTTGACTAACTAATGATGCTTTCTTCAACAGCAAACATTAAACAACAGTCAATAATACCAGCCAAAGCTGTAGAAAGAATGAAACGTGTTTACAAGCAAAAGTATAACGCTGTTAGTTATCAAAATTCTAAATAGCCAATGAAATCATGGGCGGCCGGTGACCAGGCTCTTTTATTTTTGCTTATGTGTGGGGGTGGGGATTAGGGGTTTGGGGTTAGTTAGTTCTAGGTCTGAGGATCAATCCTAAGTTGAGCGAAAAACCAAAATAATGGGCCACAAGACTTAATGCATGGGTTACTGCTCCAATCCAATAACAGGAAGACATTCTCTTGAGCATTTAAGCATCCACACGAGTCACTGGCCGGCAAAAGGTTCCTCTGATGTTATTATATAGTTATGGAAGTTCATATCTCTAACACTGAATGTTACTTTCTCCCCAACTTTTAAAAATCACAGATATGAATCAGCACATGCAACAGTTTCATCAAGAAGCCTTCAACACAGATGTCACTGGAGTAACAGATAAAGAGGAAACCAAACCCTCGGACAACCTATATACTCAAAAAATATCATTAACCTAACAGACAGGTGCCTTAAGAGTTGGGAAAGCTACCATGGACTTCTTGCTGCCTCGTGAAAATTTGAAGGCACAAATTTACAAACCTTCACATACCCTGCAAAATATGTGCTTCTGATCTATGTACACATGTAAACATGTATATGCAGTCATACACAAAGTATGGGTTTACCCATCCTTTATAAATCTATTAAGTGAACTGCTTGCAATTTATTGATTAAAGGATATAGCTCACAATGGCATGCATTTAACTTGTTAAAATAAAGCCAAAGATCAAGAAGTTTCTCTCTGCCTTTTCACTACTAAGAAGGGAAAACAGTAAGTATGAAAGAAATATAATTCCTTACGACAAAGCAATTTAGTGAGTTAATTAATGTGAGAAAATTTAGATATTAAATTACGTCTTCATCTAGCAGTTTAAGTTTTTAGAACTATTGGTAGGGATCTCACAAAATTTTACATGGCATCGAAGTGGGGAGGTCTCGAGTTCAAATCTTTCCAAGCCCTTACATTAGCTGCCTTCCCACTCTAATCTTAGGTCAAAGTGCAGCTTACTCATGGGGAGACTAATTGAATATTTAAATATTAGACCACATTTTTATCTAAAATCTCTCATTTTAAAACAGTTGACAGCGGTCCCACAAAATCTTACACATGACATGGTAAAAGATCTGGAACAAAATATGAAACTGTAAGAAAAAGCAGCTCGGATAATTGAAATACAATCCTGAAGAAGGAATCGATAATTTAAAAACAGCTTTAAAATGATCAAACTATCACCATGTATGAAAATCCTAATTGGTTATATTCATAACAGAAACCTCATAAAAATTTCAATTTTAGCAACAAAATAAAATATAAAAATGTATATAAACACTGGATCAATTGCAAATACAACACATTCTTCACTCAATTTTGAGATGTCACTCACTGACACATCAGGTGATCACATCGTGATTTTTCTTGGTTAAGATCACTCCTAGATATCGAAAAATCTGAAAACAAAGAAAAGGCCATGCAGGAGAAGTTCTACCTCTAAAAAGATCTCACCTTTGCCACTCGGAGAGTGATTCAACTCCACATCACAATTCAAATGCCATCTCTTCCAGACTCACCATATACCACCCCATAGACTACTCACTGGATCTCTCATTCTATGTCAAAAATACAATGAGGATGGAGAGTGTTTCAGAAGAAAGGCAAGACTCTGGATCTCACGGCATTCTCTGTTCTAGCAGATCTAAAGTCACTCCATATTCAGGACCAGTAATTAGGATTATACGGCATGGAAATGGATTTGGGCATTGATTAGAGGAGAGAGCAAATGGGGAAGAAAAAATCTTTATCATAAAATGCTCAAAAGAAGGAAAGTCCAACTTTTCGCACAAAGAGAGGTGGATAAACGTGAGACGAGGTAGAGAGAAACGACATCGGATAAATAACACAAGGCAAACACTTGGAAAACACCAAGTCTTTTACCAATAACGTCAGCAAACTACTTGCATGTACTCAAAGTGTCAAGAGAAAAATCCAATGCAAACTTTATTCCCGAGGGATTCCGCTTGGTAGATCAATTACACCTCCAATGGTTAGCACATTAAGCCTTCAATATGCACTCTTAATTTTGAACACAAGAAAGACTTCAGAAAAATTCAGTATTCAAGCACCAAAATACAAATAACATGGTTAAATACAAGATCTTTTTAGTATACAAACTTGGCATCTTCAAGATCAGTTACTTTCTCGTCACAAAACCAAATCTAGACTGCCATAGAAAATCTTGGCAAAATTGAACTTCCTTTTTGTCATATCACCTCTTATTTTGTCAAAGAAATCACAGCGACATTTACAGAACATCTGCCTTCTGACATAACTATTTCATAATAGTACATCTTAAAAATGTGGAGAAAACAAAGATATCATATAATATCTTTGCAACGAAGCTACCATAAATAGAAGTAAATTTGAACCTCCTCCTCATGTACTAATAATGCCACCAAAAATTATTGTGAGGCCAACATCTACTAAGTCAATTCATCTATTAGCTGTCATCTTCATTACGCAGAAGTGCTTAAACCAATTTTTGACATTACATGTATAAAGAGTAAACGAATATTGGCGAACAATACCTTTTGACATATTTTGTAGGCCTGAAAACATATATGTGATTAGAACTGGATTTATGCTTCAGAAACAAAGAATAAATTATTTGGTGCTCTGGGATTATATTCCCTTCTTTTCACATATGATGCGGACCATCCACATAAGACCCACAATCATGTGAGTGGAAAGAGTATCTCGCCTAGTATATGACGATTTCTCCTAATCAACAATCCCCAGAAATTCAAGTTGCACAAATACATCCACATTGTTATAAATGTTCCCACAGAAGACACAAGCACTAGCCATTTCAACACCCCTTTCTTCAGAATAACAACCATAGAAACTATAAATACAGGCATACTAGGGCAACCCATCATTTTCTAGCATGATTACAGCACAACCACCGGCCACAAAATGCAGTTGATTATAAATATGTTTCCTACCATCAAGAAGCTACTCTGAAGAAGACATGTATTTCTTTCTTATTGGCTAAGTGAGGAACATGTGCACTTGGTCATGGATAACACACTTGCTAGCTACTCAGTTAGATAGAGAGCACTCGGTCCTACTCATCTCAAGCGATATTTCTTTTTTTGTTAAATATATCGACCCTTCTGTCTGCAGGAAACCTCAGCAACAGTATTTTTCACAAATGACAATAAAAAACAGCGAAACCAACTCTTGGTCTTACAATGAATGTTTCTTGCAAGAACCAGGGAGAATCAGATTAATAAGACTAGCAAGAAAACATCATATATACCCGTCATATTTAGATTGAGTTTAAAAAAAAAACAAAAATGAATTTCCATCAAAGGTTAACCCTACTTACAACCAGAAAGGAAGAAAACCACTGATTAATGAAACAGAATCCCTAAGTCTAGTCTTTCATGCAAGTTATAAGACATGTTCATGTGATAATGCTCCAGACTTTTTCCTATTTTTCTATCCACCAATGTAATTTTAGAGTTATAGCTTATAGATTTTGCAGCGTGACCATGCAGATATATATCTCATGGTACTGGTAAACAAAGAGGTCAGAAGTACCCGGAACAATAATTACATAGGCCAGCAAACTGTGTACAGTTGTGTAGTCACCTTCTGTAATCATCTTGACATGCAGCAAGCAACTTTATGATCGATGCTACAGAGGAATTCATTTATTTGGATTCAACAACATAGCAGCCCACTGAACAGTAAGTGATCATGAAAAATTGAACAGCAACAACAAACCAAAATCCCCAAACCAATGTACTCAGATGTCCCTCCACCATCTCAAGAAGCCTTCTTCCACCATGAACTCAAAATTTTCTTGTGTCTCTGACAGTTATCACTGCACAACAGCAATGACGCAACAATAAGTTCTCCAGAGGTTGAGTCAAAACCCACAAATTGAAGAAGAGCTCATAGGTGCAACAGTCGACTTTCCCTGGCCGAGGGAAAAGTTATCCAGGGAATTCAACTCAAGGAAAGTTTACTGCACGTCCAACTTTGGTTGTCTTTTCAGCTCTGAGGACTTCCAAGCGTTTCCTTTCGGCAGTCTTGCTCTCGAAGAACTGCAAAGTTACTACTGACTCGATTCTGCTCGAAGATAGGACGACCCTTTGGGCGGTATTCTCCATCTAGATGCAAACGCGGAAATTTAATACATGAATCCAGATCAGAAGCTACTGAAGAATGTAACCAGAAGTAAAATATGCCTTCAAATCCAATCCCGCGAACAATTTCTATTATCGCAAGCTGTGCATCCCGGTCGGGGATACCACACCGAATCTCTTTCCAAAATTAGGCGCGATTCGTCCATTACTAAACAGGCACACGTATATACGTCACCCAAATCAGAAGCATGACGATGACAACAACGTAAGACAACACCCCCACTTCCCACAGCGCCACAATGTTTCCCCTATTAACTCAGGCCTTCAAACAACATCGTAAAGCTCAGCTAAAACATCATCTCCTTCCCTTTTCTTCTCCGCCCCTCGCCATTGTAGCACTAGTGAAAAACCAATGTCCCCCCCCCCCCCCCCCGCGGAAGCCGATCGGCTCAATTAACTAACAAATGGGATGTCGCCATGGAAGCAACACATCCGGGGAATCCCTCCCTAACCAGCCATGAACGGAGGAGGCAAAATGGGGCCTCGCTTCGTCGCGATTTGGTCAAGCGGTGGGTCAAGAGCTCATGCGCAACAGCGAGTGGCTACGTACCTGCGAAGCAGGAGCAAGGGGACGGACGAGCCGCTGCATCTTCCGCGAAAGCGATGAGATGAACGCTCGGGGAGACTGGGGATCGGAGGAGAAGGAGAGCGACGTTTTCGTCGCGAATCGGAGAGCCATGGACGATGTTGGATCGTAGAGGACGATGACGACGCTGGGGAGAGATCGCTTTGTTTTCGTTTTAAGTACGTTTTGGTTTAAGTTTTTTCCTCAAGAAATTAATTTTTTCTCGTGCCCGGATAAAATCCTCAGGGTTTTTTTTTTATTAGTATATTAACTGTGTAATATTTTTTATTTTATTTTTTGCACATTCATTGTTGGATTGATGGCACATTGATTCGTTCGGTTATATAACCATCTCTTAATTATTAAAGTCGGCAAAGGCGGCCTGAAGATGAAGAGGAAAAGGAACTCTGTCCACAGATCCAGCTAACGGCGACAATGACGAGCCGCCCGGGGGTCTGAATTCGAGGTGTTCGTGAACTTCAGAGAGAACTGGATACTCGCCTCGTCTTCACGGATTGCCTCTACCACGCGATGGGGACCGAGCCGGGTGAGGAGGAGATCCCGCAAAGGCGAGGAGATTGGAGGCGGGCCCCTGGGCGCGTTCGACAACTCCAAGATGTGCGCCGCAAACTTCTGCTGTTTCTGAACTTTCTAACTTAGGAATGAAGGCCATTGTGGGGCAAGAGAATGCGTAGATTGATAGAGATCCTCTTTTCTTTTTGGGTTCAGCATGTGTCAACAGAAAATTTAGCATTATTTTCCTAGTGGAAACCAATACTGTTCTACAGCTACCTACATTGACAGAACTTGCACGCTCTCAATACAACCCTACCTAGTGTATATCTACCTTATGATGGCTAGTTCTTCATCTTTTCCTGGTAAAGGTCGTAGAGGCCTATGAAGGGATCATATAACTCCGGGCATTCTAAATGCTGGGGACGACGGGTATGTTTATTTAGCGAAAAACTCAATAATACAAAATAATAATTTTTTGAAAAGTATTTTTCAAAAATACAGTTAATTTTTCTTTGTTTGGTAATATATGATCGAATCGTTTTCTAATGCTTGGATTTCAGTGGAAAATGATTTCAATCCCGTAGATTTTATTTTAGACGATAATTTTTTTTAAAAAAAAATCTAATTTTTAATTATTTTTTTCTTTTTTATTTTATTTTTAAAAAAAATCAAAATTTTAATTATTTTCTAGTTTTCTTTTTTCTCCTTTAATTTTCTTTTTCTTTTCTTTCCTTTTCTTTTTCCTCCTTTCTCCACGTCGATCGGCCGACAATGGCCACAGGCGAGCTCGAGCTCACCGGGATCGGCCGAGCCACGAGCTCGCTGGCCTCAATGGAGCTTGGGCTAGCGAGTTGCGCCAGCCTCAGTCAAGCTCGGGCTCGCCTGGATCTGGCAAGCCATGACCTCAACGGAGCTCAGGCTTGCTTGGATTGGTTGAGCCTCGAGCTCGCTGGCCCGCATCTTGGCCGGTCACCGGGCTGCCGGCCGTCGTCAAGGTACGCGACTGGCGGAGGAGGAAGGAAAAGAAAGAAAAGAGAAAAGTCCCGCTACTGACACTTGAAAAAGCAGCTTTCAAGGTCTTGTCGCAAAGTAAAAGAAAAAACAAAAAATAAAAGAAAAAGAAAGAAAGAAAAGAAGAAAAAAATGAAAAATAAAAAATTATTTAAAAAAAACAATGTTTTATAATGATAAACGTTCCATTAACCAAGGACCCGAGACTAAGTGCCGAGTACCCGTGCACAATCTTGGGTTAGAACTAGAGCTTGAGCGTGGGAAACTATAACGTTCTCACTTCGGGGTTATTAATGCGACGTTCTAGGCACGTCATCGTCCCGTTTCTTTTATCTTAACAATCAAACAAACAACGAGGTTAAGACAAGCACCATGAGCAAACCTTATATTTACATGATATCATATATACTACATGAGTATATTTTACAAGCCCTTTTCTACGGGCCTTTTTCCCTTTTCAACACACTACACGTATCCGCGTAGGCTTGGGGAAATTCCTATCTCCGTGATTACAGCTCCCAAAACTGGTGTGAGACTTCCATGCCTACAAATCTGAAAAACAACGGAGTGAGTCAAGGACTCAGTAAGTAAAACTCACTAAACTCCGAATAGGACGATGCCTTGCTATCGAACAAAGCACATGTTATAGTCACATCAATTGATAGTAGATCAATAGCAAAAATGCTTCAAACACGTTTGTTTTTGTGCATGAGATGATCTCATCTTGCCTTTATATTCATGCAACAACAATATAATCAAAAGCATGCACACGAGGGATTCATTATCTCAACCGTTAGTATGGTTCTTCCGGAAATTCTCTGGGCAACGTCCCCTAATTGAGGGCGACGGCTATTCATCCAAACTTAATCAGGCAACGTCCCCTAATGAATGGCGACGGCTATTCCTCCGAACTTAATCGTGCAACGTCCCCAATCAAGGGCGACGGCTATACTTTTCCCTCGTGCGACCATGCCAGCAAGTATCATACCAATTTGAGTACTTCACACGAAGTGTGTATCATGCCATGTTGCCTCTAAAGTCTTAAGTCATGCCGGGTACGAAACCAAACTCGTGGCCCGAATCGACCAGTTATGATGCCGACCTACACTAAGCAAGGCTTGGATCGGTACGCCTCAATACCGACCCTCCAAGCAAGACTCGTTCCGACACGCATTGATGCCGATCTGAACCAAGCGAGACTCGTTCATGGCCCAGGGCGTGCTCTTAAACATGATGCCAAACACATGAGCAAACCTTATAATTGCATGCACATGCGTGGCAAGCTATATCAAGCGTTCACAATCAACGGAATCCACGCAAGCACAACAAGAATATGACTCGCCCAACAACGTAACACAACACCCTAGCCAAGGTTTAGTAAGTCTACTTACTATACCACACAAACACAACAAGAACATGACTCGTTTAACCAACGTAACACATCGCCTTAGCCAAAGTTTAGTAGGTCTACTTACTATACCGCACAAGCACAACAAGAACATGACCCGTTCAACCAACGTAACACATCATCCTAACCAAAGTTTAGTAGGTCTACTTACTACCCTCCAAGATTGTGGTTGGTGGTGGCTTAGTGGTGAACCAAGCAACATGGCGCGGCACGTGCACGGGCGCGGCAAGGGCGTAGCCGAGAAAGAGAGGGTGGCTAAGAGAGAGTGAGGACGTGATGGAGAGAGAAAGAGAGGAGCTAAAGGTGAATAATGAAGGAATGATGCCTTTATTTATAAGCCATCTTGCTAACTTACTGGAGAAGTTAGTCAACTTGCAATGTAAGTTAGCCAATTTGCAAAGTAAGTTAGCCAACTTGTAAGGTAAGTTAGCCAAGACAACTTACAAGATAAGTTAACCAACTTGCAAAGTAAGTTAGCCAAGCTAACTTGCAAAATAAGTTTCTAATAAATCCATTGATTTGACTAAATTAACTTGTTTTCTTGTCTCAAGAAGCATTATAGGCGTGAATCATATGACCCTATCAATAAACACTCAATAATTGGGGTCTTTGCTAGTTCTATTGACACATCTTCCTTTGAACACCCAATTTTCACTAAACTTGACTTAACAAGGAACTAAGGTAATTAAGGGTTCTTAAGTGCCATAAACGATCGACCCTCTCATTTGGAATCAATGTTCGGTGTAAAATATATGTCTGAGTATGATTGGACACAACCGAGTCAAAGATCGGGCTGAACGGCGTAAGGTCGAACCAGTTAGAATGTCTTAGCACATGGCCTCTTCGGTCAAACCTGACTGGGCGCAGGGCCTGGCATACGGCCGGGCCACACGAGCTCAAGGCTGAGCACATTGCCGAGCCATACGGGCGTCGGGCTAGCTGTACAAGCGCAGGGCTAAATGCATGAGAGCAATACCAGGCCGCACGGTCGATGCGCCGAGCGCATGGCTGAGCCACACGAGCGAGGAGCCGGTACTTGGGTCGAGCACACGTATTGGCTCACGGTTGGCACAATGCATAGCCCGTGGCCAAGTTTGATTGGCACGGAACTAGGTATGAGCCGGAACTAATGGGGACAAGACCGGACACAAGTGTCAGGCACAATGACTGGCACACGGTCGGGCACAGGGCCAGTCTGTGGCATGACTGACTGGTACAAGGGTTGGTCCATGATCGGGCACAAGGCCTAGCTTGCGCAACCGGCATAAAGCTTGGTCCACGACTAAGCCACAAGGCTCTTCGCCTGGCACATGGCTCGTCCATGGCCTACCCGACTCAACACAACGATCCATGATCGATTCACGACCGGTCCATGTTTGAGTTTCAACAATCCATGATCGACCCTCGGTTGTCATGTAGCCGCGTGGAATCGAGTATCACGGGATCGATCCATGGTCGCCTACGACCGATGCATGGCCGAGCAGAATCACCCGCGACCGACACATGCCCGCACAGCATCGATTCCATGATCGTCCCGAACCTTCCCACTAGCCACTCTTATGGTCGAAAGGTCGATCCATGGTCGAATCACTCTAATCAACTTGTGTGACTGCGGAGTCATTTCATTAGCGATCCCTTGGCCAATACATGGACGATCCTTTGATCGAGCCATGACTAATCCTCAATACACTCATTCCGACCATGCCATTCGTTTCATTACCGACCCTTGGATTGGACCGCTCGCCAATTCCATGGCCATTTCCCTTAATCGTCTCGGTCAAAATTGGGGATGTCACGGAGACCGAGCATGGCCTTTATAAACCCGAGTTGGGGGTATGGGCCCCAGGGGTTCGGGCCTGGCCTTGATGGATCTGGGCTTGGGCGTCAGGGGCCTAGGCCCGAGCAACGAAGTCCCAGGCCCGGCCTCGATGGACCCGGGTCTGGCCACCGAAGACTTGGTCTTGAACGCCGAGACCCGAGAACTAATATTGGGAATTTCGTACCAAGCGTACAGTTTCAGATCTAAGCGCACTTATATTTTGGAAAACGTTTTTGGTTCTTTCAAAAAAGAAATCATTTCCTGAATTTAAGCTTTAGAAGGAAAATATTTTGAGTTGACTAGGTAAACATTTTCCATTGACTCATTTTTCTAAGCGAACCAAACGCCGGAAAATGTTTTCCTGGAAAATATTGTCCGTAAAACAAACGAACCGTACATGTCTTTGGTA